TTTTCTAGTCTTGTTGGCTCCACTATCTGCTGGCTTAAGGTGTGTTTTTCGCAGAAACTTAGTAGCTCATGTGTGTGACCTTTCATCTGCGCTACCTCCGGGGATTGTTTCAGCTATAACATTATTTGCTACATTCTTCCATTTTGTATGCCTTAGGTTGAAATCACCAAGTAGCAAGATGTTTGGGGATGGAGCTGGAAGGCTTTCCAGACAATTTTCAGTAGCTGTTCTTTGAACTGTTGGGAGGTTGCATCTGGTGGCTTATATACAACCACAATGACTAGGTTTTGGTTCTCGATCTTTACTGATAGAACTTCAACTACCTCATTTGTGGTGTTCAGCAACTCCGTGCAGATGAGGGACTCTTTGACATACGGACCAACCCCCCCCCTTGTTTCCTGTTCTTTCTGTGTAAGTGTAAGAGATGAATGAATACTTTCAGTTAGATTGATTTCCCTAACAAAAACAGATGGATTGTGGCTTTAGCTGTTGTCTTGGTTTAAATTTCTGCGTACCGTGAATGTGACCTGACCTAACTAGGTTAGGGCATTGGCTTAAGCCGGTAGAAGACTTGGACCTGCCTTGCATGGGCCAGTAGGCCTGTTGGAGTGTTCCTTGTTGCTTATGTTCTTATATATAAGTGGAGGTAAACTTCGGTAGGCCTACTAGGTATGTCATAGGCTGATGAAGAATTAGATACATGTGCAACATCTGGGTATCTTTATTGTAGACGTTTCGCCATCCAGTGACTTTATCAATACAAATTCACAAATAACCCGCACATAGGAGAGAGGAGCTTACGACGACGTTTGGGTCCGACTTGGGCCATTTACAAAGTCACACTAACAGAAAGGAGATTGGTTGGTAAGGTTTGTCAGGAAATAGGACAAGTGCTTCCTGACGCTGGTCTTAGTCATATAACGACCCACAGCTAGAGCTTTTGGTCATCTGACGGAGACCTTCCGCTGACTTACCCCTCCAACCCTTAAAAAATTAGGGTTATTTTTCTAGTTGTAGAAAGAAGAGAAGGAAGCCATACCACGGGTGGGGATAGAACCCGCGATCAGAGTCTCAAAACTCCAGACCGTCTCGTTAGCCACTGGACCAGCTAGCCACAATAAGATTCGTCCAACTAGGTATATTTCTACACCATAGGAAGGTTAGCATAGGCACCACTGTGACCACAAATGCTAACGCGACGGTCTGGAATTTTGAGACTCTCTGATCGCGGGTTCTATCCCCGCCCGTGGTATGGTTTGTTTGCAATCGTGTCATTACGATTTCGTCATTACGAGTTCGTCACGGCCACGCTAGCTGGAGATTCGTCTGTAAAAACTTGCATTTGTGGCCACAGTGGTGCCTGTGCTAACCTTCCTATGGTGTAGAAATATACCTAGTTGGATGAATCTTATTGTGGCTAGCTGGTCCAGTGGCTAACGCGACGGTCTGGAGTTTTGAGACTCTCTAATCGCTGGTTCTATCCCCACCCGTGGTATAGTTTGTTTGCAATCGTGTCATTACGATTTCGTGAGTCAAGAAGAGAAGGAGCCTGTATGTACAGTATAGGCAAGGTGGCAGGGACGGGACGAGAGAGGTCGTAAGCTTCTCTCCCCTCTCCTCTCTAATCCGAAAGTTAAGACACATGTCCAACATCTGGATATCTTTATTGTAGACGTTTCGCCATCCAGTGGCTTTATCAATACAGATTCTAGGACATAATAGGGAGACAGTAGAACTATATACAAAAGATGAGGTAATCAGTCCCTCAGCCTTGGAGTAAGTGTTCACAGCATCGTGGTGGAGGAGAATCTGGAGTAAAGGCAAGAAGACTGGCGGTTATATAGGCGTCAGTGGATAAGGACGGGCAGCAGACGTCGGTATTTTATACCTTTCTTGCACAACTTGTCAGACACTGCAACATCATGGAATCTTGGTTCAGAGGACATGTACAAGACCTTCTTCACGGCTGCTGCAACTAACCCATCCCTTTGTGAAGGACCTACTTCCACTGGGGAATCCCGCCTACCAGTGACTGTCCTCGTCAGCTACACGTCCTTATCCACTGACGCCTATATAACCGCCAGTCTTCTTGCCTTTGCTCCAAATTCTCCTCCACCACGATGCTGTGAACACTAACTCCAAGGCTGAGGGACTGATTACCTCATCTTTTGTATATAGTTCTACTGTCTTCTAATTATGTCCTAGAATCTGTATTGATAAAGTAACTGGATGGCGAAACGTCTACAATAAAGATATCCAGATGTTGCACATGTGTCTTAACTTACATATTGTCGGTATTTTATACCTTTCTTGCACAACTCTCTAATCCGCCCCGTGACCTGGTGGCAAAAGCTCTCGCTTCACACGGTGGGGTCCGGGTTCGATTCCCGGCAAGGGTGGAAATATTGGGCGTTTCTTTACACCGGTTGTCCATGTTCACCCATCAGTAAAATACGTACCTGGGTGTTAGTGGACTGGTGTGGGTCGCATCCTGGGACAAAACTGACCTAATTTGCAGGAAATATTCAGCATAACAAGCGGCTTTCTATAAAGTAGTATGGCATTGATGTCAGCTATGGTCTGTATACTTTGTACATGTACTGGTAGAATTATAGATATGTGCGGGTTATTTGTATATTGTTCCAATCACGATATTGTGTCTTATTGTTCCTCAATACAAATTCAAGAACATGTTTGGAAGATAGTAGTACTATATACAAAAAATGAGGCAGTCAGTCCCCTAGTGTTTTGTATGTAGTTCTACAGTCTTCCCATCATGTCCTTGTTTTGATAAAGTCACTGGATGGCGAAACGTCTACAATAAAGATACCCAGATGTTGCACATGTGTCTTAACTTTCATGCCCAGATGTTTCACCTTTATCTTGTCGATACTGTATACCAGTCATGTACAACATGGCGGAGGCTGCACCTTATGTACCAGGCTACACGTTACCTTCCATACTAACCTTGACCAGTACTACATCTCCTGGTCTGTGCTACACGTAGCCCATGATAGATCTCCTGGTCCATGCTACACATAGCCCATGATAGATCTGGTCCATGCTACACATAGCCCATGATAGATCTCCTGATCCATGCTACACATAGCCCATGATAGATCTGGTCCATGCTACACGCTACCCATGATAGATCTCCTGGTCCATGCTACACGTAGCCCATGATAGATCTCCTGGTCCATGCTACACATAACCCATGATAGATCTGGTCCATGCTACACGTAGCCAATGATAGATCTGGTCCATGCTACACAGCCCATGATAGATCTGGTCCATCCTACACGTAGCCCATGATAAATCTCCTGGTCCATCCTACACGTAGCCCATGATAGATCTCCTGGTCCATCCTACACGTAGCCCATGATAGATCTCCTGGTCCATGCTACACATAGCCCATGATAGATCTCCTGGTCCATGCTACAGGTAGCCCATGATAGATCTCCTGGTCCATGCTACATGTAGCCCATGATAGATCTGGTCTATGCTACACGTAGCCCATGCTAGACCTCCTGGCCCATGCTAGACCTCCTGGCCCATGCTAGACTTCCTGACCCATGCTAGACCTCCTGGCTCATGCTAGACTTCCTGGCCCATGATAGACCTCCTGGCCCATGCTAGACTTCCTGACCCATGCTAGACCTCCTGGCCCATGCTAGACCTCCTGGCCCATGCTAGACCTCCTGGCCCATGCTAACTTCCTGACCCATGCTAGACCTCCTGGCCCAAGCTAGACCTCCTGGCCCATGCTAGACTTCCTGACCCATGCTAGACCTCCTGGCCCATGCTAGACTTCCTGGCCCATGCTAGACCTCCTGGCCCATGCTAGACTTCCTGGCCCATGCTAGACCTCCTAGCCCATGCTAGACTTCCTGACCCATGGTTGTGTTATCAGCATGTAGGATGGCTGTGTTATCAGCTGGTAGGAAGCTTGTGTTACATGCTGGTAGGATGGTTGTGTTACCTGCTTGTAGGATTCTTGTGTTACCTGCTGGTAGGATGGTTGTGTTACCTGCAGGTAGGATGGTTGTGTTATCTGCAGGTAGGATGGTTGTCTTACCTGCTGGTAGGATGGTTGTGTTACCTGCAGGTAGGATGGTTGTGTTACCTGCTGATAGGATGGTTGTGTTACCTGCTGGTAGAATGCTTGTGTTACCTGCTGGTAGGATGGTTGTGTTACCTTCTGGCCCATGCTAGACCTCCTGGCCCATGCTAGACCTGTATTTAATGTCCTTTAATCTTGTCCCCCAGGATGTGACCCACACCTGTTGCCTAACACCCAGGTACCTACTGCAATGTGTGCAGGGGCAACATGTGCAAGGTAGCTAACACCCAGGTACCTACATAATACTAAGTAAACAGGGGTAGCAAGTGTAAGGTTACTAACACCCAGGTACCTACATAATACTAGGTAAACAAGGGCAGCAGGTGTAAGGTAACTAACACCCAGGTACCTACATAATACTAGGTAAACAGGGGTAGCAGGTGTAAGGTTACTAACACCCAGGCACCTACATAATACTAGGTAAACAGGGACAACAAGTGCAGGGAAACACACGTCCGGTAGTCGAATAACGGTCCCTCAGCGTGTGAGCTAAGGCCGCTGCCAGCTGAACCACAAGTTAAGAGATACATGTAGTATACATATTTTTTTCGCTTCTGCTACTTATACATCAGTGATAAATTAACTTATTACAACTTAAATATGGTTATTATCATAATCATAATTGTTAAAGGGGTGGAGGGGTAAGCCAGTGGAAGGCCTCGGTCAGATGGCCAAAAGCTCCAGCTTTGGGTCATCATATGACTAAGACCCACGTCAGGCAACACTTGTTTCCTGACAGACCTTACCTAACCTAACTTTATTACTAAAAATAGTTTAACCTGTCATTTATAAGACTTATTAAGGCGAAATATAATTTAGACTTGAAGAAGATGCGTCACCTGAAGCGATGTATGATTTAGACTTGAAGAAAGTGTGTTACCTGAAGTCTGGTCATGGTGAAGATGTCCCACGAAGATGTAATGATTCTTTACCACCTTCCAAGGAGGTGGTGTATTCTGGGTGATGCTTGAAGCAGGTCACTGATACTGGAACAGTAAGTCCAGCGTGGGTGGCAGTCCTGGAAAGTTTGTAAGATGAGACGTGGCTAGTAGAATGGTTGTCTTACCTGCAGGTAGGATGGTTGTCTTACCTGCAGGTAGGATGGTTGTGTTACCTGCAGGTAGGATGGTTGTCTTACCTGCAGGTAGGATGGTTGTCTTACCTGCAGGTAGGATGGTTGTTACCTGCAGGTAGATGGTTGTGTTACCTGCAGGTAGGATGGTTGTCTTACCTGCAGGTAGAATGGTTGTCTTACCTGCAGGTAGGATGGTTGTCTTACCTGCAGGTAGGATGGTTGTCTTACCTGCAGGTAGGATGGTTGTCTTACCTGCAGGTAGGATGGTTGTCTTACCTGCAGGTAGGATGGTTGTGTTACCTGCAGGTAGGATGGTTGTCTTACCTGCAGGTAGGATGGTTGTCTTACCTGCAGGTAGGATGGTTGTGTTACCTGCAGGTAGGATGGTTGTCTTACCTGCAGGTAGGATGGTTGTCTTACTTGCAGGTAGGATGGTTGTGTTACCTGCAGGTAGGATGGTTGTGTTACCTGCAGGTAGGATGGTTGTGTTACCTGCAGGTAGGATGGTTGTGTTACCTGCTGGTAGAATGGTTGTCTTACCTGCAGGTAGGATGGTTGTCTTACCTGCAGGTAGGATGGTTGTGTTACCTGCAGGTAGGATGGTTGTCTTACCTGCAGGTAGGATGGTTGTCTTACCTGCAGGTAGGATGGTTGTCTTACCTGCAGGTAGGATGGTTGTCTTACCTGCAGGTAGGATGGTTGTCTTACTTGCAGGTAGGATGGTTGTGTTACCTGCAGGTAGGATGGTTGTGTTACCTGCAGGTAGGATGGTTGTGTTACCTGCAGGTAGGATGGTTGTGTTACCTGCTGGTAGAATGGTTGTCTTACCTGCAGGTAGGATGGTTGTCTTACCTGCAGGTAGGATGGTTGTGTTACCTGCAGGTAGGATGGTTGTGTTACCTGCAGGTAGGATGGTTGTGTTACCTGCAGGTAGGATGGTTGTCTTACCTGCAGGTAGGATGGTTGTGTTACCTGCAGGTAGGATGGTTGTGTTACCTGCAGGTAGGATGGTTGTGTTACCTGCAGGTAGGATGGTTGTGTTACCTGCAGGTAGGATGGTTGTCTTACCTGCAGGTAGGATGGTTGTCTTACTTGCAGGTAGGATGGTTGTGTTACCTGCAGGTAGGATGGTTGTGTTACCTGCAGGTAGGATGGTTGTGTTACCTGCAGGTAGGATGGTTGTGTTACCTGCTGGTAGAATGGTTGTCTTACCTGCAGGTAGGATGGTTGTCTTACCTGCAGGTAGGATGGTTGTGTTACCTGCAGGTAGGATGGTTGTGTTACCTGCAGGTAGGATGGTTGTGTTACCTGCAGGTAGGATGGTTGTCTTACCTGCAGGTAGGATGGTTGTCTTACTTGCAGGTAGGATGGTTGTGTTACCTGCAGGTAGGATGGATGTCTTACCTGAAGGTAGGATGGTTGTCTTACCTGCAGGTAGGATGGTTGTCTTACCTACAGGTAGGATGGTTGTCTTACCTGCAGGTAGGATGGTTGTCTTACCCGCAGGTAGGATGGTTGTCTTACCTGCTGGTAGGATGGTTGTGTTACCTGCTGGTAGGATGGTTGTGTTACCTGCTGGTAGGATGGTTGTGTTACCTGCAGGTAGGATGGTTGTGTTACCTGCACGTAGGATGGTTGTTACCTGCAGGTAGGATGGTTGTGTTACCTGCAGGTAGGATGGTTGTCTTACCTGCTGGTAGGATGGTTGTCTTACCTGCACGTAGGATGGTTGTGTTACCTGAAGGTAGGATGGTTGTGTTACCTGCAGGTAGGATGGTTTTTTATCTGCAGGTAGGATGGTTGTGTTACCTGCAGGTAGGATGTTTGTCTTACCTGCAGGTAGGATGGTTGTCTTACCTGCAGGTAGGATGGTTGTCTTACCTGCAGGTAGGATGGTTGTGTTACCTGCACGTAGGATGGTTGTCTTACCTGCAGGCAGGATGGTTGTCTTACCTGCAGGTAGGATGGTTGTGTTACCTGCAGGTAGGATGATTGTCTTACCTGCAAGTAGGATGGTTGTGTTACCTGCAGGAAGGATGGTTGTGTTACCTGCTGGTAGGATGCTTGTGTTACCAGCTGGTAGGATGTTTGTGTTACCTGCTGGTAGGATGGTTGTGTTACCTGCTGATAGGATGGTTGTGTTACCTGTTGGTAGGATGGTTGTGTTACCTGCAGATAGGATGGTTGTGTTACCTGCTGGTAGGATGCTTGTGTTACCTGCTTGTAGGATGGTTGTAATACCTGCTGGTAGGATGCTTAGGTTACCTGCTGGTAGGATGCTTAGGTTACCTGCTGGTAGGATGGCTGTGTCACCTGCAGGCAGAATGGTTGTATGTCACCTGCAGGCAGGATGGGTGTGTCACCTGCAGGCAGGATTGGTATGTGTCACCTGTAATCAGGATGGGTATTTGTCACCTGTAGGCAGGATGGGTGTCACCTGCAGGCAGGCTGGCTGTGTCACCTGCAGGTAGGATGGCTGTGTCACCAACAGGCAGGCAGGCTGTGTTTCACCCGCAGGCAGGATGGCTGTGTGTCACCTGCAGGCAGGATGTATGTGTGTCACCTGCAGACAGGCTGGTGGCTGTGTATCATTTGCAGGCAGGATGGCTGTGTGTCACGCAGGCAGGATGGCTGTGTCACCAACAGGCAGGCTGGCTGTGTGTCACCTGCAGACAGGATGGCTGTGTGTCACCTGCAGGCAGGATGGCTGTGTGTCACCTGCAGGCAGGATGGGTGTGTCACCTGCAGGCAGGATGGGTGTGTCACCTGCAGGCAGGATGGGTGTGTGTCACCTGCAGGCAGGATGGGTGTGTGTTACCTGCAGGCAGGATGGGTGTGTGTCACCTGCAGGCAGGATGGGTGTGTGCCACCTGCAGGCAGGATGCGTGTGTGTCACCTGCATGGCAGGATGGGTGTGTGTCACCTGCAGGCAGGATGGCTGTGTGTCACCTGCAGGCAGGATGGGTGTGTGTCACATGTAGGCAGGATGGGTGTGTGTCACCTGCAGGCAGGATGGGTGTGTGTCACATGTAGGCAGGATGGGTGTGTGTCACCTGCAGGCAGGATGGGTGTGTGTCACCTGTAAGCAGGACGTGTGTGTCACCTGCAGGCAGGATGAGTGTGTGTCACCTGCAGGCTATATGGGTGTGTGTCACATGTAGGCAGGATGGCTGTGTGTCACCTACAGGCAGGATGGGTGTCACCTGCAGGCTGGCTGTGTATCACCTACGGGCAGGCTGGCTGTGTGTCACCTGCAGGTAGGATGGCTGTGTCACCAACAGTCAGGCTGACTGTGTGTCACCTGCAGGCAGGATGACTGCCACCTGCAGGCAGGCTGGCTGAGTGTCATCTTGAGGCAGGATGGCTGTGTGTCACCTGCAGGCAGGGTGTCTGTGTGTCACCTACAGGCAGGCTGGCTGTGTCACCAACAGGCAGGCTGGATGTGTGTCACCTGCAGACAGGATGGTTGTGTGTCACCTACAGTCAGGCTGTCTGTCACTTGCAGACAGGCTAGCTGTGTGTCACCTACAGGCAGGTTGACTGTGTGTGACCTGCAGGCTGGCTGTGTATCAACTGCAAGCAGGCTGGCTGTGTGTCACCTACAGGCAGGCTAGCTGTGCGTCACCTGCAAGTATGATGGCTGTGTTACCAACAGGCAGGCTGGCTATGTGCCACCTTCAGGTATGATGGGTATGTCACCAACAGGCAGGCTGGCTATGTGTCACCTGCAGGTATGATGGGTATGTCACCAACAGGCAGGCTGGCTGTGTGTCACCTACAGGCAGGCTAGCTGTGTGTCACCTGCAGGTATGATGGCTGTGTCACCAACCATTCAGGCTGGCTATGTGTCACCTGCAGGTATGATGGGTATGTCACCAACAGGCAGGCTGGCTGTGTCACCTGCACGTAGGATGGTTGTGTGTCACCTGCAGGCTTGATGGCTGTGTCACCTGCAGGCAGGATGAATGTGTGTCACCTACAGGCAGGATGGCTGTGTCACCTGCAGGCAGGATGGCTGTGTCATCTACAGGCAGGCTGGCTGTGTCACCTGCATTTAAGATGGCTGTGTCACTTGCTAGCAGGCTGGCTGTGTCACCTGCAGGTAGGATGGCTGTGTGTCACCTGCAGGCAGGATGACTGTGTGTCACCTGCAGGCAATATGGCTGTGTGTCACCTACAGGCAGGTTGACTGTGTCACCTGCAGGTAGGATGACTGTGTCACCTGCAGGCAGGATGGCTGTGTTACCTACAGATGGGATGGCTGTGTCACCTGCGGGCAGGATGGTTGTGTTACCTGCAGGCAGGATGGCTGTATCACCTGCAGGCAGGATGGCTGTGTCACCTGCAGGCAGGATGGCTGTGTCACCTGCAGGCAGGATAGCTGTGTCACCTGCAGGCAGGCTAAGTATGTCAGATACAGGCAGGTTGGGTGGATGAGGGTACTGACCTTCCTGGCTATAGCTACACTTGTGTCGTCTCACACCCCTTCTACACCTACCTCACTATACACTCAACACACTACAACACCACATTTTCTGTACACAAGTCACTACGTCTCTTCAACAACGTCAACATTTTCTAGGAGTTGAGATGTAACACACGTTGGGCTCTTAGCTGTGAGACTGGTCAACGTTCTCGCTTTCTGGTGAGGTGAAGACTGGTGGTGTGTGGTGGAGATGGCGTGTGTGTGTGTGTGTGTGTGTGTGTTGGAGCGGGGAAAGAGACTGCTGGAGCGGTGGTAGTGGTGATGGTGGTGGTGGTCAGGATATACTCCCACCAACAGTGACTCCTGTGCTGCCCACACTGGCGAAACCAGGCAACTTGTTCACTACACCACCACCCCACTACCACCATCACCACCATCCCACCATCACCATCACCACCCCACAACCACCAGTTGGGGGAAAATGATGGACTCATTAATTTCAGATGCAATCCGAAGCCTCTTCGAAAGACGTGACTGGATCATTGAATCACTGCAGTTGCCTCTGTCATCGTAAGAAAGATTTCTTATACATAAGATCAACATGATCATCCTTCTCTGTTTTCCAGGACATCAGAGTTCATTTTGTAATGTGTGGTGACCAGACCTGTGCAGCATAATATACATGGGGTCTTACCAAACATAATATACATGGGGTCTTACCAAACATAATATACATGGGGTCTTACCAAACATAATATACATGGGGTCTTACCAAACATAATATACATGGGGTCTTACCAAACATACATATGAAGCCAAAAATTCAATTAGCTTTATCACTAATACTTATGCGGTGTTGTCATAACTTTATATTACCGCTAACCAGAACGCCTATTTGTTCGCGATAAAGCTAATATAATTTTTGGCTTCATATCAAGAAGTATAAATAATAGAGTTCTCAGGTTATACTTCAACTTATGTAACCTTGGTAAGGCCTCATTTATATTGTGCCGCACAGTTCTGCTCTCCATATTAATAATAATAATAATAATCTTTATTTACTACCAGTACATGTACAAGGTATACAAACCATAGCTGACATCAGTGACATACTGCTATATAGAAAGCCGCTTGTTATGCAGAGCATTTCCCTCAAATTAGGTCAGTTTTGTCTCAGGATGCGACCCACACCAGTCCACTAACACCCAGGTACCCATTTTACTGATGGGTGAACATAGACAACCGATGCCAAGAAACACGCCCAATGTTTCTACCTTCGCTGGGAATCGAATCTGAACCCTCACCGTGTGAAGCGAGAGCCTTACCCACCAAGTCACGGGCCACCGTAGATGTGCTGGAAAACATACAGAGAAGTATGACGATGTTGATCATGTATGAGAAATCTTACGAGGATAGAGTATGGGCACTGTGGGGATATGATTGAAGTTTACAAGTGGAACACTGAAATAAATAATAAATTATAAATAACCTGCTGAAATTATCAAACCAAGACTGGACACACAGCAATTATTTTATGGTGGACAAATTTAGATTTAGAAAGGAAATAGGGAAGTACTAGAAGGATATAGGAAACTACTGGAAGGATGTAGGGAAGTACTGGAAGGATGTAAGGAAGTACTGGAAGGATATAGGGAAGTACTGGAAGGATGTAGGGAAGTAGTGTAAGGAAGAATATAGGGAAGTACTGGAAAGATACAAGGAAGTACTGGAAGGGTATAAGGAAGTACTGGAAAGATATAAGGAAGTACTGGAAGGATATAGAGAAGCACTGAAAGGATGTAAGGAAGTACTGGAAAGATACAAGACGTACTGGAAGGATATAGGGAAGTACTGGCAAGATACAAGGAAGTACTGGAAAGATATAGGGAAGTACTGGAAGGATGTAAGGAAGCACTGGAAAGATACAAGGAAGTACTGGAAGGATATAGGGAAGTACTGGCAAGATACAGGGAAGTACTGGAAAGATATAGGGACGTACTGGAAGGATGTAAGGAAGCACTGGAGAGATACAAGGAAGTACTGGAAGGGTACAGACAAGTACTGGTTTAGTACCAAGAGTTGTAGATGAGTGGAACAAACATCCAAGTAGTGTCATTGAAGAGAAAACCTTGACTGTCCGTGAATGTAGGTTGGACAGGTGCATGAGTGTGGGTGGGTGAGAGTTAGACTTGCCTGGCATGGGTCAGTAAGCCTGTTGCACTACTCTGTCAGTCTTGTGTTCTTGTGTATAAGAGGAGAAATTATCTCCTGGACCCAGGCATGTCAGACTCATGGGCAGCAGAGGGTTTACATAAATGAGGAGAAATCAGAACGGGAGCCCGTTATTAGTGGCGTTCCGCAGGAGTCAGTACTGGGCCCGTTGCTGTTCACATTATACATACAAGTATTATTATTATTATTAGTAGTAGTAGTAGTAGTAGTATTATTATGATTAGTAGTAGTAGTAGTAGTAGTATTATGATTAGTAGTAGTAGTAGTATTGCTTATTATTATTATTATTATTATTATTATTATTATTATTATTATTATTATTATTATTATTATTATTATTATTATTATTATTCCTTTTAATTTTTTAACACACCGGCCGTCTCCCAAGGAGGTAGGGTGACTCGACAAAAAGGAAAACACTTTTACCATCATTCAATCACTGTCTTGCCAAAAGAGTACTGGTACCACAGTTCAGATACCCCTCCCAACCGTAACATCCCCACCCCTCCTTCAGAGTGCAGGCACCCTGAGGGACTCAAGTCCGGCTAACCCGTTTCCCTGAATCCCTTCATATATGTGACCGTGCTTACACTCCAACAGCACGTCATATAAAAACCACTTGCCTCCACTCACTCCTATCCAACACGCTCACATAAGCCTTTTAGATGTCCAAATCATTAGCACTCAAAACATTATCTACTACCTCCCTCCATCCCTTCATCTACCACCTCCCTCCAACTCTTCATCTACCACCTCCCCCCAACCCTTTCTTGGACGACCCCCACCCATCCTTCCCTCCACCTCAAATTTACAGGCCCTCTTAGTCATCCTATTTTTCTCCTCTAAATGTTCATAGTCCAGCAACTCCTCCTCAGCTCTCTGAATAATGTATTTAGTAATCTCACACCTCCTAATTTCCGAACTCAGAATTGTCTACATAATGTTCACACAACATATTGATGTTAAACACGGCGTCTCCACTGCCACCAGCCTCTTCCACGCTTCAGTATTTAAAACTCATTCTTCACACTTATACAAGTGTTGGTACAACTATACTCTGGTACATTCTCTGTTTTTGCCTTCCTGTATAAAGTTCTCGGTCACTTCAGATGCCTTAATGCACCACTCATCTTTTTCTCTTCGTTAGTTCTATGGTTCACTTCGTCTCTCACAGGACCATCCACCGACAAGTCCACTCCAAGTTATATAAAAACATTTACTTTCTCCCTCCGATCTTATATTCAGTCTTTTGTTGCCAAGATTTTTTGATACTCTCACCACCTTGCTCTTTCCTGTCTTCATTCTTAATTGCCTTATTTTACATGCCCTCCAAAATTCCTTCACCTACCTTTGTAACTTCTCTTCATAATCTCCCAAAAACACCGGTGGTGCTGTTGACCGTGAGAACTGGATTATCTGGGGATGTGCTGGACCGCTCTCTGGGGCTCCATTGAGTGGTTTTGTGTGTTGTTGGATGACACAAGTATCCCTGGAGGCTGCCTATCAATTCTGGAAGGTGGCAGCCAAAGGTTGTACGGCTCCCAAATTTTACGGTCGCCCACCTCTTGTTGGGTGAGCCTAGCTTGTTTGATTCTGGTGTACTGGGGATCTTAGTATACCAAGTAGGGTAGATGATGCGTTCCATGCAGCATCAGTACTACTGGACGCACCGAAGCTAATCATAAAATCTTATTTTTGTTCTTGAAACTGCCCCTCTTTCCCTTTTTTTAATAAAAAGATAAAACAATAAGTTAATTATGAAGAGTTTCCTCCTCCCGGAGTCCTTACTCCATCGGGACCCTCATATGATGCCGACAAGCCAACGGACTTTTCTTTGAACTCAGTATTGCTTTTGGACAACACCTTGTTGCCTGATTCTGGTATAGGCTTTCCAGTTGATCATTTTGATACTTCTGACCTTCGCTCCACTTTGACCTTGCTCCCGACTTCTCCCACAACAACACCTCAATTTTTTGGATTGTTGGCATGTCACAGGACAGACTTGCTCGAAGCGGCCATCCATACGACCTCGACCCATTCTTGACGACCCTGACACTATTTCTGATACTCCTCCATATCCTAAGGAATACGCTTCCCTAAACATATTTCAAAGATGTTCCTGGACGAAATTCTATTCTCCTCAGTCGACGACACCTGCTAATTACCTTATTGATCATAACACTGGCAGCACACTCAAAACATTTCCTGCCATGTCCTCAAGTGTGGGATGCTAAACAAGCTGAAAATCTTTTGCCTCTCCGCTTTTTTGGTGGCACCCGTCACAATACAAAGATATTCCTTCCTCATTTCGAACTGATGCATTGTCCTCATCCCGCACACTACAATGTGGTTCGGACATTCACGAGCAACTTTGAGCTTCAGAATCTTCCCATATTTGCCCTGACCGAGGTAACAGACATTATCCAAACATCATTGCCAAACTAACCTTCCAATGCTGGGAGCTTCCGGCCTCCGTTTATATAGCAAGACAACGCTTAGAAGTGTTAGAATTGCTTCCGACACATCAATAATGTAGATATTTCTGGTGCTTTGGCCAAACACTGTAGATCGGCAGAATGGCCGGTCTGCTGTGCAGCTGACAATACATCCCGCAGCTGTTTCAGGGGGGAGGAGGAGGGCCTCTCCTATGTTATGGTAGTGACTCGACTTAGTTTCCAACAAAGACCGTGGTTCTCTTACACCAGAGCTGCTCAGCCTCCACACGCTCCTGTTGTACCCTCTCCCACTGGAACCCTTGTGTTTAATCCTTTTTGTTATTCTCACCTCCAATCACCTCCTCACCTCCTCCAACAACTGCACGGTCACCACCTACACCCCTCCATCCATCCTCCACCACCACTAACCCTCTATACGTCCCAGCCTAGGAATTGAACTTGCGTCCTTTCGGTCGTGACACGAGCACTACCACTGAGCTACAGGTCAGTCCCCTGAGTAAATAGGCGCTGCCGAGTGAATAGGTGCTTCAGAGTAAGTACTTCAGCACATCTTACGATGTGACACTTAATTTTGCACTAGTTGGGCCGGGTAAGCCAGCATAAGGTTGTGGTCCAACAGGTACAGCCACCATATTGTCCACTGCCACATAGATGATAGGATCTGCTCTGATTGTGGCG